TATTTCCCCAAATGACATCATAAAGAACAGAATTTTAAAACAGGAGGAACAAGGCAGAAAAAAAGTGAAAATTTTTTCTGGCTTTAGGACAAATATGACCGTTACACGTTTATGATGTTAATGACATAAAAAAGTGATGGTAACTAATGGCAAATACAAAAACAGTGCTTTTATTGGTTTTCTGATTAAATTACAATTGGGGATTATTTTTTTTTAACAGCTCTATTTGAATTAGATTAATTAACCGGTGTAGAAATGAAACGAGTTAAACTTCTGCGTAAATGGAAGAGCTTTTAGTTAGCAGGAACCTGTTTTCCTCTTGTGCAACGGTTAGCTTAGCAGAGAGAAACTGTTGGAGGCTAATTTATTTTAAAACGATATAAAGTCATAGCGAAACTACAGCTAACATGAACAGGTTGTTAGGAGCCGTTAGCATCCCATAATAATCCACAGTAAAACCTGCAGCGGCTGCAGTCTGAAGCTTCCACTTTATACGAGTCTCTGAATTTCCTTCCTATGATCCGAGTCTCGGGTTGCGACCAACTGACCTGAGAACTCTGGTGATGAACCACCACCAGGTTGTCCACGATGTTCAGAGCAAACTTCCCGGTGGTGTTCAGCTTCAGCACGTGACTCTTCTTACAGATCCCCTCCCTGCAGGACGACAGAACCACAGGTTGGATCGGACCCGGTTCTGCTCACACAGAAAGACTCTTTCCAGGTTAATATTTCCTGATTTTAGGCTCATAAAACATAAATGTATTAAAAACTTTATGGAAACAAATGATGTTTTATGAGAAGCTAATTAGATCGTTAACTGAGCATCGATCAGATAAACTGCTTTATTAATTAAAGTCCTCAGAGGGAAACTTTGAATCAATCTGACTGGATGATCTGGTTGATTCTCTCTAAAGTGACCTGAGATGATGTTAATTGGAGCTATAGAAATAAAGTGAATAGAACTGATGAGAAGCCTAGTTCCCGCCTCTAAAAGTCTGGTTTCAGCCAATCACTGTAACAAATGGAACAGCAGCAGACTCCATGAGAAACCACTTCAGCCATAGATTCTATCAAACAGATGTGACAGCAGCAGCTGGACTCCGCCCTCTGAGCCGCCATCTTTGTTTTGGTTCAGCAGCTCTAGGTTTCATCACAGGCACACGCCCCTCCTTTAACCATAATACTGCAACGTGATTGGCCGACCCGTTACAGTTTGGAGCTTTTGAAGGACGGCGGGACAAGATGGATTCTAGTGTTTCTGATCTCACAATTAACCACGAATAACGGCCAAAAATATCCAAACAGCTTCCCACAAACTTCTCTAGGCCCCGCCCACTTCCTGCTCCTCTACAGGAAACGGCCTCCAGGTGAGTGCAGGCTGCTTCCTGTAGGAGGCGGGGCTAGAAGAAGCCAGACATGCAGAAATCTGGTTCCTTTAAATAGATTTTCATGGTTTAAAATGAAGGAGAATCAGAACCGTAAGTGGAGGAACGGATCGGGCCGCCGTGCGTTTACCTGGGCAGGTGGTACAGAACCACCTCGGCTCCGGGGCTGTTCACCGTCCTGGAGTGATGCTTCAGGTACATGACGTACAGCTGGCCGTAGCTGAACACAGAGACAGAACCAGGGCTCAGTTTCAAACAGAACTCATCCGGTCGCCACGGAGGGCCCGGCCCATCGCTTACATGGTCGCCATGGCGATGTCCCTCTCAGACAGGCTGAGCTTGGCGGGTTTGGGAACGACCGGCAGCTCGATCTCAAACTTGGACATCTTGGTCATGGCGCCGTTCTGGGGAGGACAGATTTAAGGTGAACACCTACGGACCATCATCATCATCATCATCAGAGCGAGAGGAAGCAGACCCTGAAGGCGAAGGGCTGCAGGACGTTCCCCTGCACCGTGGTGGACAGCAGGATGACGGCCGTCTCCGGACAGTACTGGTACCAGTTCACGTTGATGTTCTGACTCTTCAGCAGCTTCAGGCTCCGCTTGTCTGGAAACACCTGGAGAGACGGAGACGCCGCTGACGCAGGCGGGACGGAAGCGCTACGGGGGAACCAGCCGGATTCGGGCCGAGGCTTACCTGGTAGAACTCGATTCCCTGGTCCGTGACGAAGACCACCTCGTTCCAGCTGGTCCAGCAGAAGCCCAGGACGCTGGCGTTCTTCGTCTGTGGAGGAACAGAGAGCGTCAGCAGAGAGCAGAACCTCAGGAAGCGGGCCGCTCGTCCGCAGAGACCCACCTTACACTCCTGACTGAACTCTGTGTGCGGATAGTCCGGGATGAAGTTGATGAAATCCTGCAGAGGCACAGAAGAACCGGATCAACAGAACCCTGACCGGGTCGGTACATTCGTCTAGAAACCAACGCCCCCTGAACTCACCACAGACTTCAGCGTCCTCTGCACAGCCAGGATCTTGTTCCCGATGGAGAACTTGATGCACTTCACTTCTCCTCGATCGTCCATCCTGGAACAAAACATCAGGATGGTCTGAATGTTTGGCTCTGAGCCTTTCTTTAGGGGGAAGCCGTTTTTCCCCCCCAGACTTGATGTACCTGAAGGCAACGCTGCTTTTGTCATCCGGCCCTTTAACCACCACGCCCGTAGCTCCGCCTGAACGCACCGCAAACACCTGCAGACACAGAACAGGACATAAAAACCCACAACCCTAAACAGAACCTGCTAGAAACATCAGCCATGGTTCTGATCCAGTCCTCCGGTCTCCCTGTCGTCATGGAGCTATTTTTGCATTTTCAATTAAATCGTAGAATGTAGATTATTTAGTTTAATCACTTAGAATAGGTTTTTGGTTAGGGATTCACTTGATTAGTTAATTAATTTTAGCATGTGATCCTTTTTCTTCTTGTAAGGTTTTATGGCGGCTAGCAAACTAGTTGAAGTATATTACCGCCACCAACTGATGAGTTAAACAGATAAATAAATAAAAAAATTTAATTATAACTTTCCGACTAATTTAAGCCAACATAATAAATAAATAATTCAATCAAATTTGTCCTCATAATGTCTAATTTATCATTAAGTTAGCATCACTGCCAGTTTCTGATGGTCCTACTCGTTTTATATATATTATTATTATTATTATTATTATTATTATCATCATTATATAGACCCAATATTTACTATTTTAAATGAACTTATATGGGGAAAATAAAAACAATATTGCTAAAAATCCCATATTCTACCACTAACTGTAGTTCTGCGCTCCACCAGTAGGGGGAGACATGTTCACATGGAGCTTCATGAACTGCGGGGATCATTGGAGAAAATAACCCAAACTGTTCAATGAAGCTTCATATCTATGCATGTCACCATCATTAGTTTAAACCACAGAGCTATCTGTTAGCTCGGTGCTTTAGCCGGGCGAATGCTAACAGGCTAGCTTACCTGCTTGTTAGCTTCATCAAAGAAGACGTTGTTGACGCTGGACGCGTGCTCAAACTGCACCGGGTTCTCACTGAGCTCCAGGTAATGCTCCTCAGCCATGCCGAACCGCCGGGAGCGCAACTTTAGCTGCGCTTTAAAGGAGAAAAAGAGGAGCGAGGAACCGGAAGACCAGCTTTGACCGGACTTCCGCGTTACACTTTCAAAATAAGAGCCGGGCAGCGAGCCGTTCCTCTGGTTTTATTTTGCCATTAATAGATATCGATTTAAATTAAAACAATAAATACATTAATAACTGCGTTTTGACTTTTAACTCAGAGTTTTAGGGCCAGATATCCTGATTAGTTTAAAATTAGTTTTATTTAATTTTCTTTTTTTACTTCACTTCCTGACATTTTCTTACTTTCCCTCCTTAATGATACTATTTCAGGTGTTTTGAGCCTCTTTTCAACGTTTTCTCCTGATTTTTACCTCTTCTGCCCAGTTGTCATGGCAATAGATGAAGCTGAGGATTTAGTTGGGAAAGGTGTTCATTCAGTTCTTTAGTCATCAAACTGCATTGGATCCCAGAGATTATTCATTACCTGGACCTGAAATAATCCGGAATCCCAATTGTTATTTGTCTGATTAGGGATTAATATGATAACGAGCATCGAGAGGAATCCACCAGTCTTACTTTGAAAGAGCTAGACCGGAAGCCATTAGCCAAGTCATGTGACCTGTCATGCATCACATGTCTGGTCCTGAGCAGGAATCACTTTATTATGGATATCTATGGCAGGAATGACCATAGATAATAGAAGTAGATCCCGCATCGATCGCTCTCACCTATAAGCGCTGACGTCATTCGGAGCGCCATCTTGGTAAGGTCGCCAGTTCCACTCAGTGTAAAATGTTGAGCAGGAACAGAATTTTAACTCGCTGAATATTGTACTTTATTTTCACGGTTGTTTTTTTTTGTTTTTTTTCTTGCTGAAAGCAAACAAATGTTTCACTGATGGATGCATGTTGCAAAGAACAGCCATTTTTTTATTGCTATGTATACAAATATATTTATACTTGTATACACATAACCCTCACTGCCTGTCCGTCTGTCTCTCTCTCTCTCTATATATATATAAAAAACAGTAAAAATGTCCACAGATGTATATTGGTCTATTCTTAAATACATTTGTAAAAACACTTTACATTGCAGGACTTTTATTTTCATTCCTTTTTTTAACTCCTGTCACTTATTTTTATACACTCTTTAAAGAAGGTACACTTTTCTATAACTATATATATAAATCTATCTCATACAAACAGTAATCCGCTGCACAGTGCAGACATCCTGCTGCCTAAACCAAATGGTTAGGATTGCAGATTGACCTCCCCAAGATGGCGATGCGGGGTCCACTCTTGTATCATGTTAATGGAAATGACTGTTAAAGAACAAACAAAGCCACGTGGTGATTCTTATGCTTCCACCTCTTTTTATTTTCTCAGGATGATTTTAACGACTTAAACATTTAGGATGTTTTCTCTCACAGCAAACCCGTTTCTCTACATTTATTCAAACATGAATCCTAATATTTTTACTTCATCCCACCCGATAAAATCACACATTAAAAAAAAAAACAGCAAAAGCAGCAAAATCTGGGCTTCAGGAGCCGATTGGTTTTCATCCGTCACTCCATGAAAACAGAGACTGAGGAGGTCCGACCACGACTCGTTAAAAGCTCGTTAATCAATCGGCGTCGGAGCATCTGAGCGTCTGATTGGCCCATCAGGTAACGACTGATAACCTTCAAGTGCTTCTGTTTTCAGCTTCACATCAAACAGCCATAAAGCAGGAGGACATGATTCCCTCTCAGCCTGCAGGAGACCCTCCCTCCTGCAGCCAGGAGGTGGCGCTGCATCCTGCCATGAAGCAGGCGGTGGGTGGGGTTCTGTTGGGGGTGGGGGGGATGGACCCAGAAGCCTCCTCTTGGGTCCATGTCCTCCGTACAACGTTGGTGACACGGCAGATCAAAGCGAGTCGGTGGTTAGGCGGGTCGGGGGGGATTAGTCATCGAAGTCGGGTTCTAGAGGGGGGCCGCCGTCCTCTGTCAGCGGGAACGTTTTCTTCCCTCGTCTCTGGATGTGATCCTCTTGCTTCTTCTCCAAGGCCACGATCTGTCAGGGAACAGAGGGGGAGGGGTTACTGCACGTGCTCAGAGCTGACGTTGTCACGGGAGACAGGGGGGGGGGCGACCTGGATGCTAAAGGTCAGAGTGGAATGCCGCCTTCAGGATCAACCTGCAGATTTTATACGGACAGAAATTTGCTCCATTATTTAAAACAAACAAAAGGCTAGGCTTAAACTTTCCTTTTTGATAAAGCTTCTAGTTAGAGTGGCTCAGGTTATCCTGATCTATCTCTATAGATCTGCTGCTATAGGCTTAGACTGCTGGAGGACATAGGGACCCCTTTTTCATCATTCGTTCTCTATTCTCCCTCTCTGGCTGCTCTGAAAGTTGGGGACCAGAGATCCATCAATCTGGGAGGAAATGAAGCCAAACTGTTAACTTGGACCACCAGAACCACGGCCCGTTACCTCAGCCATGAAGAGAGACTCGTCCTCGGCCACCACTGGGATGTTCAGGCCGGTCACGGCGTTGAAAAGCTTGTAGACGCTCATGGCCTCAGCCACCCCGCTCTTCTGGAAGAACTGCAACACAAGAACCAGAACCATCAGAGGCACGGGAACCAGAACCCTCAGAGGCACGGGAACCAGAACCCTCGGAGGCACGGGAACCAGAACCCTCGGAGGCACGGGAACCAGAACCCTCGGAGGCACGGGAACCAGAACCCTCAGAGGCACGGGAACCAGAACCCTCAGAGGCACGGGAACCAGAACCCTCAGAGGCACGGGAACCATCAATCCGATGGCTCAGTTGCTGCTGGTCTAAGTCGTTACCGTGGAGACATTTCTGCAGTCTCTGAAGAGGAACTCCAGCCCGTGAGGATGAGTCGGCTCCACCGACTGACTGACGTCAATCAGCCACACCTGGGGGGGAGGGGCAAAGGTGAGAAGAGAGTCTGATGGACCTGAACGGCGACAGGAAGCAGGACGCCTACCTTCCCCTGGTGCCACAGCATGTTGTATTCACTCAGGTCGGCGTGGACCAGGTTGCAGTCGTGGTAGAGCTGCTGCATCAGCTGAACGGAAGCATAAACTAATCAGTAACCATGGTGATGGAGGACCTCCCCCCCGCCCTGCCGGCGTCCTACCTGCACCACCTGCTGGTACGCGCCCTTCATCTCCTCACTGCCCAGCTTCACGTCCTTCAGTTTGGGCGCAGGAACGTGTTCCTTCCCGATGAACGACATCACCAGGATGTGCTTCTTCAGCAGAACCACGTCCGGACAGGGAATGCCAGCCTTCTTCATCCTGAGGAGACGGTTACCGCGGTTACAGAGAAGATGCTGCCGCGTGCCTCTGCTCACACGGCTGGGTTCTGGTACCTGCTCAGGTTGCGCATCTCCTTCTCGGCCCACAGGCGGATGATCTTCCGGGGGTTCTGTTTGCCGAAGCGGTCCTTGAAGCGCTGGTCGTCCTTGATGTAGCGGTCTCGGGTCTTGAACTCGTTCAGCGTGGTTTTGAAAACCTTCAGGACCACCTCCTCTGGGACGGGCTGCTCCTCCAGGCTGAGATACACACACCTCCGTTAGACCTCTGACAGAACGGCCGGGTCGCCTACAGGTCCGACCCACTCACCTTCCTCCGTCGCCGTGGAACACCACCGACTCTTTCCCGGTGCTGATGCAGCCGTTGATGTTCTCCAGGACGCCGGCGTTCACCATCTTATACATGAGCAGCCGGGTCCGAGGGTCCACGGCATGTTCCTGTGGAGGAGGGCGGGACAGTGAGCTCCGGATCGGGCCCGGATCGGCGCCGTTCTGGGGTCATACGTACGGCGGTGGAGTGCTCCTTCTTCTCGTGCAGCCGGGCGCTGCGGCGCTGCTCGCTGTAGCAGTGGCGCTTCAGAGAGTTGAACACCTGGTTGGACAGCTTCAGGTCCATCCCCAAACCGTCCCCCACCTGGACCTCCGGAGCGAACTGGACCACAGACAGCCGGTGGTTAGGACTTCCAGAACCAACGGGAGGTAAAGCTAACGAACTGTGTGCCTCACGTTGTCCATGCGAGCCGTGTTCTTCCGTCCGCACATCACCTCGTCGTGTTTGGTGGTGATGTTCTTCCCCTTCCCGCTGAAGCCTCTCCTGGGGGTCGTCTGAGGCTTGTCTGGAGAACAAACACAGGATGAGACGCCGCCTCGGAGCCGCCAAACGCCTGCGGCAGGTTCTTACCGGCTTTGTACGGGTCGCGCCTCGTGTCCTGCCAGTCCACCTCGTCCTCGGAGCTGTCGCTGTCCTCGTAGGGATGGACCATCCGGTAGTTCTCAAAGGAGATGGAGACTGAACACAAGCAGAGAAACACCTTAAAGGTGGAGAAGCGGAACTAACCGAACCCCATCAGAGTAACACAGGGATACGCCATGGACTCCTGGAAGGCTTGGAGGATATCGAAGATGTTTGGATTATCAGATTTATGATACTCAGATTTCTGGTGTCTGAATTTGGACGATACCTGATGTATCTACAGTCAGAGGATGTCGGCGGCAATTTGGGCGGTGATCAGGCTGCTGGCAGCGGATGACGCCCTCACAGAGGCTGTGACTGTTAGCAGGACCGTTAGCGGAGCTGTATGCTGGGTGTGATCGAACACAGTGTTATGTGCTTCGGGCACATTATGATTTTTGTCTATTTCTTTTCTTTGTTTTCTTACAGACTTTAGTTGAAGGATTTTTTGTTAATATATTTTGGGAGCTGAATAATTCTTTTGGCCAGTTAATTACGTTAATTTTTGGTGCCGTTGTCCGCCAATAAATAGGCTGGCTTTCGGCATGTTGGGGCGTTCCTTTCTATCCTCGCCTGGACGCCGCTTTTCCACCTGCTTCCACTTGTTCCACCGTGCGCGGTGCACGCTTGTCTTGTCGCTGCGGCCCGCAGCGGACGTTCCAGCCTGCCATGTGGTATTTTGGTTAGCCGTTGCTTGCTTTTTTTCTTGTGGTTTTGGCCTGGTGGGACCGGTTGTCCTATTTTCGATTTTTCTTTTGCTTAGGTTATTTTTGTGCTTTAGTCCGGTACCAGTAGGGGCTTCGACGGCGCTGTATAGGGTTGGCCCCCTGCTGTACCGTTTTGTTCTGTTTGATCGGCCTGCCAGGTCCAACTTTCTGTTGTTACTTTTGGGTTTTATTTTTTGATTCCTTTGGGGCACGGGATCTGAGGGCCTCTAACTTTATTTTTCTTCGCAGAAAATCAGAAGAAGCTGAGCCAAGAAAGCTAAAGAGGAGAGAATTTATAAATAAATTTTTTTTTTGAACCCTCATCTTTTTGTCTCGTGTCCTCAAATATGTTGTGCCCTTGGTGGACGTAACATGCAGCCTGGCTGTAGTGGTTGAACTCAAAGGTGAGGTTGGGATAATATCTTGGATCAGCACGCTCGCTTCAAGGCGGTAAAGCCCAACAAATATGGAATAATGGATTCGCCACGTAGAGCCAGCAATAAAAGACTGAAGGAAAATTCCTGCGCAGCCTGCTCTCCAAACAATAAGTGTTTTCTGGATTCAGTCTCCACCTTATCAAAATCTCCCCTGGATGTTACGGTAAAAGGACATAGAAGAACTGCTCCCCCTCCCCCACCCGAGAACATCTGGTGATGCATCCAGAACTTTAGTGCTGGTTGATAAAATTCCATCTGTAGCGGCTAAAATCCTATATTTTAGGCTACTGGTGGTTGCTGTTGAAAGGCGTTGGTTTTACGTGCGCTCACTTAAGATCCAGAATGCCGATCCCCCGTTTGACATAAAATAAAGTCATTTATTTTCAGTTACATGTCCAGTGCCTTACGGTTTCCGTTAAGATCCATATAAATTCGACATATATCCAAACCAAGCGCAGTAGAAAACTGTTTGCCTCAGCCTATTAACGACACCTGAACAGAATTGATGGTTGACCTTAAATAACCCATCCCCCCATCAGACAGTCAGAACTCAAAATAAATACGCCCCCTGGTGGCGACAAACACTAAAGGATTAATGGCTCCTACACCATCTGATCAAGGGTAATAACAAATTGAACGCACTTTATAACACAAAACTAATGTCTGAAATGATTGACCTTCATGTGGCTCCAGTCTCTGATGTTTTCCTTCTGATGAAATGTTTATCTCGTACTACATGTGCTTTTCTTGTTCCTTGTCAAGGATAAAGTGTGAAATGTATATATATATTGTAGCTGACAAATAAATTGCTTGCTTGTGACGGACCCGTTTAGTCAGATGAGCCCTGAAGGCTAACAGGAGGAGCCGCCCACCTTTGCTGTCTCCGTTGAACTTCTTCTCCTCGCGGCGCAGCTGATCGTCAAACTCTCTGTCGAACTGCATCTGCAGCATCTGGGCCAGCATCAGGTCGCTGGTGGTGTCTGCAGCGTCCTCCGACAGCAGCAGGTCCGCCGCAGGGCTGGGGGACCCAACAGAACAGAACCGGGTCAGGTTCAGCAGAAACACAGCAAACCTTCTGTTCAATCTAACATCTCTAGTGGGAGAATAATGAAGATCTGAAGGTCCTGGAGACAATATTCAGGTCCAGAACCGTTCAGAACCAAAACGCTAACTGCTGAGGATCATAAAGCAAACATGGGTTCAGAACCAGGAAACCGGACTCACTCTGAGAGCCCCGGGAAGGCGCTGTTCTCCTCATCCAGCTGTCGGGCCAGCTGTTCGCTCATCACATCAGTCAGAGAGCAGGCAGGCGGCGCCGGGCCCACCGAGCCCCACGGACTCTGCAGAGACAAAAAACAGGTCCAATCAGAAGCTTCTGCTGTCAGAACCATAAGAACTGGCTTTGAAACCCAAGATGGGATTGTAATCTGATTACTTGGCTGCCCCATTATTCTCAGTTTGATGCTTTAAAGAGACCCCCTGATCTGATTGGCTCTCCTCCTGATGACACCCGGCTCATTGTAATAAACCGATTGGATCAGCGAGAATGTGGAACATGTTCAGACATGCCCTGAGCTCATTATGGCTCCGCCCACAACCAATGACATCACAGTTACTGTTGGGAGCAGCAGGAAAACATTTATGGATGGTTTACAACATGTCCAGTTAAATGGGCCAGCTGGTTCTGTAATCAGAGGTGTACGGCAACCTGCAATCACTTCTAGTTCTATAGCTGTAGAGGAAATTAATATCCAGTTACACTCTGATTATTCTAGAATCACAGATCTACTCCGTTCTAATTAAAAATACAGTTAAAATCGTAAAGATCAGTTTATTTAACACGTAACCTGAAGCTCGTCTCAGATACCTGAACCTGTTCTCCCTGTCCTCCTTGGCCTCCAGGCCTCTGCTCTAACATTCCTCCTAAACATTAGACTGACTTTTATATTGTCGTTGATCTGGCCTCAGTAGAAATTCAATCTCTAGATTTCCTTTCATCCTTCAGAAAAACACTTCTATAATTTCAACAAACCTCCTTTGGGCTGTTTGATCATTTTCTATTAACAACAAACTCCTTAATTCATGTTCTCAGGTATTTATGTCATTATTCTTCAGACATCATCCAGACTACGACGGTGTATTAGGGCCAGGCTGGAGATTACTTTATTACTTCAAGAATAAAGTCGTAACATTACGTGAATAAAGTCATCATTTATGAACCTGTTTCAGAAAGAAAGCTTGGAGCTCCGCCCATCAGATGACGGCCACCCAGCTCCACCAATCAGCAGCCAGAGTCCACTTTGACATCCTGCCCAGTTTGATGCTGCTGCTAAAAGATTTCCTGATTGGTCAAACTGATGCTAAAGTAGAACTTCACATGATGCTCCACATTCCTCATTTTAGGGAAGAAAGGGTTGTTTATTTTTGTTTGTTGTTTATTCTTGTGACGTTACGCCTTTATTCTTGAACAACAAGTAAATAGAAATAAATAAACTCTCTATCCTGGCCTTAATACTCCATCATATCCAGACAACTGCTGACCACAATAAGAAATATTTAGTTCAACAACAAAAAATAAATAAATAAAAATTCAACCTCTGCGTTTGATTTTAATTTTAAAAGGGATCTCCTGTAATAAAATGTAAACACTAATTATTGCTCCATTTCTATCTCAGAGCTTCATTTATGGGCATCCATTGATTTTATTAAATAAGAGTCAAAATTTTTAACATAATTCACTGTAAACTAAACGGATTAGCCCAAAAGTTTAATAAAAAACTGGAAAAACAAGCTGAAACTTTTATCTTTATTGATGTCCTAATTGCTGCTCATATTGTTTGATGAATCATTTTAAATAAAGTTTATTGACAGCTTTTTTTAAGGGTCTGGTTCTGTTTACTGTTATTAATCCATTTAGCTTTAGTTTAATCTCCTCCGACATGACATCAGGAGGAACATTTAAATAAATACACTAAATATTAATAAATCCTTATCTTGTCAAATGTTCAAAGTTCATTTCCGTGTGTTTAAAGCCTGAGTCAGAGGCCTGACTCTAAGCTAACAGCTAACACCCATAAACCTGACCTAATTAAAAGCTGACAGGATAAAACATTAAAAGAAGTGAAGCAGCTTTAATTCTTACCTTCTGGGTTTGAGCTGCGACTCCTGATTGATCCATGCTGCAGATATCGATCAGCTGATTGGTTCTTTCTGGGGGAAATGGTGGCTAGCTGCGGAGCTAACTGGGAAAAGTTCGACACAGAAAGGCGGAAAACGGCGCAAAAATGGAAGAAAAGGCGAAGCGAGGCGAACAGAAAGCTGCTGTCTGAACGTCTGAGGAAGTCAGCGGTGAGAAAAATGTTCTAGAAGGATTAGAAGAAGGTTTAAATGGAGACGAAATAAGTCTGACAAGCAACTGGACACGGTGAACCTTGGAACGGGAGGAAATACGTCACTGTTTAGCTTAAATACCTGCTGCCTTCACAATAAAAGCATGTAAACTGCAGGTTTTATTTTGATACTTCAAATATAAAATACTGGAAATAAGATTATAGATAGATAGATAGATAGATAGATAGATAGATAGATAGATAGATAGATAGATAGATAGATAGATAGATAGATAGATAGATAGATAGATATAGTGGCACTGTTAAATTCACTCTAATATAAATCAGAAAGAAACTCCCGTTTAAATATTATCTTAACAGATTCAGCTAAAATAAAAATGTGTAAAAAACAGAATGATTAATTTCCTAATATTCAAGGCAAAGAACTCAGATTAAACAAAGAAAGTCTGACCGACATCACAATAAAGGAGTGCGCGTGCTCGCTCGCCCCCGTCTGTCCGGTTTAACTCATGGACGCGCATCATCAAAGCTGAGACCAGCAGGCGCGTGCAGGTGCGTGAACGTTAAAACGGAAACCCGGGGAGTCGGATTATCAAAATAAAAGCATTACGCTCATAATTTAAAAAAGAATTACAAGTTTCTGAGATAAAGTCCATTTTAAACGGGTCAAATGTTACTCATTTATTTATTAGGTTTAACACCTTAGATGGACATAGTTTTATATGATTACATTTAAACACGTTTCCTTCTATTTATCTTTATTTAACTTACTCAGACTTAGATTAACTGAAATAAAATTTCACATTTCCAGTCCATAACAGTGTGGGAGGAAAGACAGGGTGCAAAATAAATAAATAAATAAAATGGTCATTATTATGATCAGTTTGATGCAGAATCTGTGACATGATTTAGAGTTTTCTCAACAGTTCATCAGTGTGATGTCGGTGGGGAAGAAGCTGCTGCAGAACCTGCTGGTCCTGCATTAAATGCTGGGAAGCCTCAGGGTCAACCTAAACTGTTCCAACAGGAACAAGCACAACATCCATATTTTCTAAATAAAAACCAACTATACTTTCCTACAGCTTTCGCTAACAAATAGACACATATATTTAAATATCATGATGTCTAAATTAAAGTTATAGTGGATAACATTTCTGGGTCGAACATCTTTTTGAATGCATTACATAGCTGCTTTTATCAAAAATTGCTCTGCATAAAATTAATATTTACATGCACTAATATCTATGTTAAATTGTTATTATTAAAGTAGCAGACTCCTAGATGACTTACAGAAACATAATTTTCTCTTAACTTCCTATAACACAAAACGTAGCTCTGAAAAGAGCAACAATTCTGTATATATCAGCTTTAATGTTAGTATATTGATGTGCATCATTAACCACAGCGTTTTAAAATATCAAGTAATTGTTATTATATGGAAAAATTAAAATGTTTGATAAGTTTGAACATTCCGCTTTGAGATGATTAGTGCTGCAACCGTCTGTATCAGAGGGGGGGAAATGGTAGGGGTGGGCATTGATTGGCCATGGGCACCCCTGGCCCCCCGTCTAGCTCCGCCCCTGGCAGAGTGGTAGTCTGTGGGACTGAGTGGCCCCCAGCACCCTGCGCCGCCACGGCCCAAATAAAGGTTCATTCTACGGTTCATCTTAGATTATAATTTTATTTCTTTGTGTGCATCTCGTTAAATTAAGTTTTTTTTTATTTTTTTTTATTTTAAGATCTAAGAAAAATCTTTTTCCCAATTGATATTTTTCACCCTCCAGCTTTTATTGTTAAAGTCCTGACCGGAAGCTACCTGGCTTATTGACGCTGCTTTGACAACCTTGAAGCGTCCTGACGTCTTTTCTGGGAGCACAAAGTGAACCTGCTCCTCCTCCTCCTCCTCCTCCTCCTGCTGCGCATTCACACGGACTCACAGGCGCGCGCCTCCTCTCGGACACCTTCAGGATTTATTCTTTCATTTCCTTTATTTTTCTTCTTTATTATCATTTTTAACCTTTTTTAAATCTTTTTATGCGCGGGATGCAGACCTCCTGCTGCTCCTCCTCCTCCATCAGCATCAGCTCTACCGGAGGGCCGATGGGCCAGGCAGGATGGCCAGGATTCAAGCAGCGAGCAGGTCTCTCCTCCAGATGAAAATAGATTCCTGATCCTCCTGGGAGATGTTTCTCCTCCTGAACCTCCTCTGCTCCCTCCGGTTGGATGCAGCTGGAGGTGCTGCTCCTCCTTCACCTCCCAGTGAGGATGGATGCTCCTGCTGGAAGGAACCGGTTTCCTCCTGAAGGATGCTGCCCCCCTCCTCTGTGAAGATATTCCTCACACAGGAGGACATTTCTGCTCCTCCCTGTGAGGATGGATCCTCCTGCTGCAGGGAGCTGCTCCTCCCTGTGAGGATGGATCCTCCTGCTGCAGGGAGCTGCTCCTCCCTGTGAGGATGGATCCTCCTGCTGCAGGGAGCTGCTCCTCCCTGTGAGGATG